AATTTATTTTGCGCTCTTATTTTTTGAAAACAGCTGTTCTTACCAAACTTTACACAAATCTGTTCCATGAAAATTTGAATAAAGAAAGTAATCTGGCATTTTATTTGTGCTATGCTCTTAGTTTGTACTGTACTTGTATTTTACACGAGTTTTACTACGAGTAGCTCGTGGAGCAAATCTAATATTTGCGAAGAATATTTTACATATAAATAAATTGTTAAAACTTATTTTATATATTTGTTACAAACAGAGAAAACAGTGTATACAAAAGTGCGCAACACGTATCCACTTTCTTTCTGTTACATATGTACGTACCAATCAGAAGCCAGAAACAAATAATACTTTTATACTTTGGCCAGAAGCATACTGTCGCCTTTTCACGTGTGTACTGGGGCTAAAAGAAATTTTAATATTTGTGTATTTATATTTTAAAATTAGTTTTGTGGCGACCCAGTTGGCTGTGCATTTATTGAATTTAAAAAGTAAAATTCAATTTCAAATATTTTTAAGTTTTTGTTTTGATTGATGAGAACGTTTCGATTTTTCTCTCTGTAAAAAGTTGAATAAAAGTTTATTAACATTGAAAATTTTTAGAGTTTTATTAATTAGCAAGGTGAACAGATCATTGCTAAATTGGTGACCCCGACGTGATTTTGAAAAAGTTTAAATTTAGAAATATTAACTTCTGAGCTAAATATCTAATTATCGAGCTGTGATGTCAGTTGCAGACGAAGGTGTAGTAATGGCTTCTGATAGTGGAAGTGTCGTAAACCGTGTAGCAGTGAAGGTGCCACCGTTTTGGCACGAGCGACCGGAGATTTGGTTTGCTCAGATCGAGGCGCAATTCGCAGTAGCTGCCATTACGAGTGACATCACGCAGTTCAACACGGTTGTAGCAGCGATTGAGTCAAGTGTTATCGCCGATGTAAGTGATGCAGTGCTTCATCCTCCTGAAACTGGAAGATACGCTAATTTAAAGGCTTGCATCATAGAGCGGTACAGTGAGAGCGAGCAGCGGAAGATTCAACGGTTGTTGTCAGAAGTTGAACTTGGTGATAGACGCCCAACACAGTTGTTAACGGAGTTGACAGCGTTAGCTAAAGACAAGGTGAGCGATGAGTTCCTTAAGTCTCTTTGGCTGAAGCGTTTGCCACCACAAGTGCGCGCTATTCTGCAGGCATCGAACGTGGCACTAGCAGAACTGGCGAAATTAGCAGACCGTATTTGCGAGGCGGGTGATTTTCAACAGATAGCTGTAGCGTCAGCCTCTGATTGTCCAGCCTATTCTGAGAATGCTGTGATTTTACGAAGGCTTGAGCAAATCGAACAGCGTCTGAGTCGTTTGGATTTACGTCGTAGTGAGTCGATGCAAAGTCGATCGTCATCGAGGAGGCGTAGGCGAACTCGTTCCCGACCAGGAAGTCATCCAGATTGGTGCTGGTATCACGAAAGGTTTGGTGATAGAGCTAATGCTTGTCGGCAGCCCTGTAGTTTTGTGGCAAGCTCTCATCAGTCAAAAAACTAGGCACTCCTTCTACGTCGTCGAGCCGAGAAGGGGTTAGTGTTCGTATAGCTCGACTTAGTATTAAAGATCCCGCCACGTCGACCGTTTTTCTCATTGATACTGGTGCGGACATATCAGTTTTACCGAAGTCGTTCTGTCGTTGGAAGCAAAGGGCTAACAGTGTTGCATCAGTTAATTTATATGCCGCTAATGGTACGCCTATTCAAACATTTGGCGAGCGTCGACTGCTTTTGTCTTTGGGTTTGCGTAGAGATTTCCCGTGGACGTTCGTGATTGCGGATGTTAGCTGTCCTATTGTTGGAGCCGACTTCCTTAATCACTATGACTTGTTAGTGGATTTGAAAAGGAAGCGGTTAGTTGATTCGAAGACGACTTTGATGATGAAGGGTAAGGCTGCTGTGTCTCAAGAAGATACTGTGCGTGTGTGTGGTTCAGTTTCAGCTTATGCTGAGCTGGTTAATGAATACCGTGATTTAGGCATTATGAGTGCAAATCGGATGGGTTTAGTTACTAAGGTTGAACATTGCATCGAGACATTTGGTGCGCCGTCATTTGCTCGTCCCCGACGTTTAGTTGGAGCCAAACTTGAAGAAGCCAAGAAGGAATTCCAATTTTTAGTCCAGACAGGGATTTGTCAACCTTCGAAAAGCTGTTGGGCAAGTCCACTTCACATGGTTCGCAAAGGCGATGGAAGTTGGAGACCGTGTGGCGATTATCGCATGCTCAACGCGCAAACTAAACCTGATCGGTATCCGATTCCGTTCATTCATGATGTGACGAGTATTCTTCATGGTAAAACTATGTTTTCGAAGATAGATTTGCAGAAAGCGTATCATCAGATACCGCTTGCACTGGCAGACATTCCGAAGACAGCTATTACAACTCCGTTTGGCCTGTTCGAGTTTCGCTTTATGACTTTCGGTCTCCGTAATGCTGCCCAGACGTTTCAGCGTTTTATGAATGAGACTCTAGGTGATCTTAATTTCGTTTTTGCGTACATCGACGATATTTTAATTGCGTCAAAAGATGAAGCAGAACACAGAATGCATTTGCGACTGGTTTTAGATCGACTTAGAGAAACTGGTTTGACCGTGAATTTTGCCAAGTGTAAGTTCGGCTGTTCCGAGATCGAGTTCCTTGGGCACGTTATTAGTGCAAAGGGTTTACGTCCTCCGGAGAGTAAAGTTCAAGCTGTTCGTGATTTTCCTCTGCCAGCAACGGTGAAACAGCTTAGACAATTCTTAGGCATGGTGAACTTTTATCGGCCGTTTCTGCGTAACGCTGTGCAGAATCAGCAGCGGTTGTTTCATCTTACACCAGGTAACCGCAAGAATGATAAGTCGGTGATTTCTTGGACTCCAGAAGATATAGAGGTTTTTGAGGCTTGCAAGAAGGATCTTGTCCAAGCTACGTTGCTTAACTTCATGGCTCTGGATGCACAATTGACGCTCACGACTGATGCTTCAGACGTTGCGGTGGGTGCTGTTCTCCAACAAGTAGTGAAAGGTGTGACTCAGCCATTGGCATTTTATTCAAAAGGTTTGAGTCCAGCGCAGACTAAGTATAGTGCTTATGATCGTGAGTTGACTGCTATCTATCAAGCTGTCCAGCATTTTAAGTATGCATTAGAGGGTCGTGATTTCGTCATTTTTACGGATCACAAACCATTAACGTTTGCGTTCAGGCAAATAAGTGAGAAGGCATCTCCTCGTCGTGCAAGACAGCTGGAGTTTATTAGTCAGTATTGCACTGATATTCGTCATCTGGCTGGTGCAGATAATACGGTGGCTGACTCTTTGTCTCGGGTGGCTACGGTTCAGTTGGAGGCAAATGTTATTGAGTTAATTGCTGAGGGGCAGAAGACTGATGCAGAGTTGCTCGCTCAGCTGAAGAGCCAGTCTGAAGATGGTGTTGGGTTGAAGAAGTTGAGATTGCCGGATTCGAGTATTGAACTGTACTGTGATGTGTCAGGCAGTCGTGTTCGTCCTTTTGTTCCCGCAAACTGTCGGCAGCTGGTACTCTCAAAACTCCACGGTTTGGCTCATCCTGGTATTCGAGCAACGCGGAAATTGGTGCAGGCTAGGTATGTTTGGCTTGGTTTGGTTAAGGATGTAGCTGTGTTTGTGCGTAGTTGCATTGCGTGTCAGAAGTCCAAGATTCAGCGGCATACTAAAACACCAATTGGTTCGTTTGCTGATATTGATAGTCGGTTCCAGCATGTTCATGTTGACATTGTGGGTCCATTGCCTTTGTCTCAGGGGAAGCGTTATTGTTTGACTTGCGTTGATCGTTTTTCTCGGTGGCCTGTTGCTGTGCCTCTGTCGGGCATTACGGCAGAAGAAGTTGCAGCGGCTTTTATCGACGGTTGGGTGGCAAGTTTTGGTTCTCCGCAGGCTATTACCACTGATTTGGGTCGGCAGTTTGAGTCTGCTGTATTTCGGGAACTGACGAGATTGCTTGGAGTGAAACACTTTCATACCACGGCTTATCATCCTCAAGCAAATGGTATGGTTGAACGTTTCCATAGAACATTGAAGGCAGCCATTCGATGTCATTCCTCAAGTAATTGGACGCAGTCTCTTCCGCTTGTGTTGTTGGGATTGCGAACGACACCGAAACTAGACCTAAATGCTAGTCCTTCAGAGATGTTGTTTGGAAATCCTCTTTGTGTTCCAGGGCAGATGCTTTCGGATTTCAAGCAGAAGTCGTCCGAGACTGATTTTGTGTCGGCGTTGCGAAGGGCTTTAGCTAAGGTTAAATCCGTTGAATCAACAAGACATTGTCATCCATCTGTGTATGTTCCGCGTGACGTTATTAATTGTAAGCACGTTTTTCTTCGAGTGGATCGTGCTCGAGCTCCACTTGAGCAGCCTTACGAAGGTCCATTTGAGGTGCTGAGTCGTAGTGAGAAGACGTCTGTTATTGTTTGCCGTGGGAGAGAGGTGACTGTTTCGAATGATAGGTTGAAGGCGGCGTACTTAACGTGTGATGATCTTGAACAGGTTGTTCCAGAAACGCGTCAGCCTTCAGCGCTGTTGAATGGTGATCAGTTAGTGACTTCTGGTGATTGTAGGCGTGAATCCCTGTTGCCGATTCCGAAAGTGACACGAGCTGGTAGAGTAGTGCGTTTCCCAGCAAGGTTAGCGGAATTTCGTGATTAAGAGTGGTGTTGTCGACTTAGTTGTGGTGTCGCGTTGTTGCTAGTACTCCATCGCTAGGAGGGGGTACTGTGGCGACCCAGTTGGCTGTGCATTTATTGAATTTAAAAAGTAAAATTCAATTTCAAATATTTTTAAGTTTTTGTTTTGATTGATGAGAACGTTTCGATTTTTCTCTCTGTAAAAAGTTGAATAAAAGTTTATTAACATTGAAAATTTTTAGAGTTTTATTAATTAGCAAGGTGAACAGATCATTGCTAAAGTTTTATGCTTTAAAATTAATTTTAAAATAATAAGAAAATTGATTTAAAAACATGTTTATATATAAAATTTACTGTGTTATTGTTTGTATGTAATTGAATATGAGATACTCAATTACACAAATTGTTATTTTGACAAATTCTTATCGCGAAAACTGGTAAGCCATATCATCAGCTGTGATATTTACTCTCTGTTTACGTAAAGAGCACATTTTCATAATGCAGAGATTCCTACTTAATATTTCATATATTGGTACAAATTTTCGGTAAGCTTGTTTTAATTTATTTTTTACCCTTTCATATTATTTATCGCAAAAACAATTAATAGTGGAATACAGAAAACAATCAATAGAGCAGAGGAGCAATTAGTTGACGTAAAAAGCGTACAAGGATGCATTGATTTAGCACTTAACGTGCTGCGACCCGCAAATAAGGTTGAAACAGTTTTGTCAAGCCGGTAAGTTAAATTATATTGCATATATTAATAACTAAATAAAATCATAATATTTAATTAAAGTACAGACAAGGGTGTCCATGCACTTCACTCAACTTTACATGTTGATTTACAAAAATATGGTACAAAGACCTACGATCCAACGACCATAACAGGTGTATTGAATCGTACATTGCATAAACAAAAGCTGCAAATAAGAGTTATAAAAACTGAAAGGGTTCCAGATACATTTCACTGCCGCTATAATGCATTAGGTCGCACTTATCTTTATCGTATTGCAGTGTTACGAAAAAAATCGGATGGTAGTAATTGTATAGATAATCGAGCCTTTGAAGAATTTATACCCATTGAAGAAATCGATCGTTGTTATTTTATTCAGTATGTACATCTTGAATTTTTAAAATGTAATAGTTAATAAAGTAATTTATACTTAGAAAGTACCCATTTGATATTGAAAGATGTCGCTCTGTAGCCCGAATGTTCGAAGGAATGCATGATTTTCGCACTTTTACAAGTACGAACCGAGAGGACAACCCTTCCTTCAGACATCCCCGATTCACGGTACGTCGGATAGAGAAAATTAGCATAAAACCAGGGAAAACGTTAGCTATTGGTGTAAACACTGCATTAGCACAGGATTTATATGACTTTTGGGATATAGAAATCAAAGGGAAATCTTTTCTTTATAAACAGGTAAATAAAATTATATATTATATATTTTTTTACAGAATTAATACTCAATTGTAGTCTCTATTAAACTTTACTTTATATTTTAGGTACGCCGTATTGTGGGTGCACTCGTAGCAATAGGAGTAGGGCGTATTGATGAAAAAAGTATATATGAAATGCTTACTATACCTTCAAAGCATAGCTGGGATTCACGTATTACTCTCGCACCAGCTTATGGTTTATATTTAAGCAAAATTCATTATAATGAAAACGATAAATATATAGAAGCTCCAGAAAACGATAAAGGACATGAGCTTCCTTCAGGAAATACAACAAAAACGTAAAAGTTTGCAAAGATCAACAACAATTGTAACCACAACCACTGGTGAACGTTATGTTGAAAGCAAAAACTCAACGCTCCCACCAATTAAACTTGAAAGTAATAAATATGGTTTCATTGTGGATACGAAACCAGATACGGAGCCTGCTTGTATAATCGAAAATCTGCTTTATCTTGGTTCACAGGATGCTGTTTCACTTGAAAATATTAATAAGTTTAAATTTACGCATATACTAAGTATTGGCGTTGAAATGCCCATTATAGAAAATATGAATGACAATTTACATACAAAATTTTTGCCTTGTTTGGATTTGCCTGAAACGGATCTCTTTGCTGGATTAATGCAAGACGCTTTTACGTACATAAAAGAAGCGAAACTAACTAATGGTATCGTGTTGGTACATTGCAATGCTGGTGTGTCACGTTCAGCGAGTGTGGTTATAGCATATTTAATAAAACATTGCCAAATGAAATTTGACGATGCCTACGCATATGTTAAAGGGAAACGTGCCTGTGTGCAACCAAATAGTGGGTTTTTAGAACAATTAAAAAAATTTTGTGAATAGTTTTATAATCTTTTTTAATAGTGGGCTATATTAGCCTTCCAAAACATATAAAAAGTAATGTGTATATAGATATATTAAAATATTTGTTGTATACTTATAAGATTCCCTATTAAAATTTATTAATGTATTAAAATTATTATTAGTTCTTATTACTAACCACAAACATGAATTAATTGATTTATATTTTAACGAAACAATGATGTAAATAAATAAGTGTATGACATAAAAAAACTATATATATGTGACAAATTTTCATTATAAACAAATACGATGTGTGTTTAATGTAAAAAATGGGCACTGAATATACTCCTAACATTGTACTAGGTCATAGATGCGCCACTAAAATTAAAAATCGTATTGATATCCTTACAGTTGTGTTCTTTACAAAGGCTTATTAATATGGAGAAACTTTCTTCAGGAGTCAGAAGTTTGGATGTGGCTGGTCCAGCAGCAAATTCCGTTGGAGTCATTCCACGAAAATTGATTAGGTCACAGAGATCTTTAACTAAAGCTTTACGATTTTGAAACGTATTTGAGCCACATAGTTCTGGTCCGCTTATATTTAATATAAAGCTGGTGCTTGGTGATATTTCTTCAGGTTTTACGACTACATTTACGTCAGGGTCAGCAATTCCTTCTGGTCCTTCTTCTATTTCCAATTCTTCCTCGAACAAATTATTTTCTAAACAATAACGTTCGATCGCTTGAAATATATGAATTTCTGCCACTCTACGTTGAAGTGCCTGGATAACGCATTTGAATACTACCGCTTCCTGCTTGTACACCGTTGAATGAAATAAAAAGTCGAGTTTGTAATTTTGAATATGCTGCAAAGGAAATTATTAAATTTGTCATACACCTTAAATACATTGGTGCACTTACATCTATGGAGAGTGATAGCATAAGGCTTTCACTGTAAACTTTAACTGAATTATAAATGGTTAGAACGTGTTCCACTGGCCATGGAGCATTACTTAAAATACGAATAAGTGTTACACGCAAAAATTCCATTTTAAATTTCATTGCCATGTAGAATAATTTACCCGCAAGGGCATAAGGAAACGGCGTCTTAACTTCATCTTGCATATATATATGCTGTAGAGCATATCTGAATACATCTGCATTGACATCTTCATATTCTACTTCGCTTAATCCATCCTCATAGAATATCGTTTCGAACTTTGGTGATACTATTGCTAAAATCAACTTATGGCAGAGGAATCTTTCTTTATGTCTGCCGGCTATAACGACACAGTCGCCAAATTTCCCTTTTTCCAATAGGTAACCAAATCGCTGATTCACATCTCTTCTACAAAAATAAAGAAGAAGCAAGAAAAAATATAATGCACATTTTTGCATTTTTATTTATGTGCTTACAATTTTGATTGCCAAGGGCAAAATTCAAGACTATGTTTTTTTTTCTTGTGTGAAGCGGCCATCTTATGAGTTTTTCTGTCGGAGCAATCAAATAAAATCTAAGCTCAACGTCTCCAATTAACTGCAATTATGCCCGAAAGCGACTAAATGCAATCCGTTTAAAATGTTATTAATAAGTGTGCCGAACTAATCCATTTTTTTTTTGTTAATTAAGGCGAAAGTAACACTGCAAATCGTTTATTTATAACCAAATTTTAATATTAGGCGAAGGGAATATTTTTATACATAAAAATATTTAACAACTATAACTATTTTAAGACATATTATATTTAAAAAAAAACTTTAAATAATATAAATATTTTAAAATAACCTCCATAAATTCTTAAATATATATACTTACTTATATATTTACTTATTCGAATTAAGCATTAAAATCCATAGTAGTTTTTTAATTTTTTATATCGCAAACTGGCCCAAAAACATAGAATTATAACAAAAGTATTTCTATGTTTGAAGAAATCATGAAAACTATTATTCTTGTTTATACTGATTTTGTCTTAATTTAAGTTAAATATAATTTCAACTAGCTGCGTATTATGGTAACACATATTATATTTATAAAGAAAAATCTTTTAAGTAATAGAATTATTTTGAAATATACTCTATAAATTTCTAATAGAACGAAATATATTTACTTGTTCGAATTAAGCATTAAAATCTAAGTAATTTTTTAATTTTTCATATTGCTAACCGAAAACATAGAATTATAACAAAGTATTTCTATGTTCGAAAAAGCCTATTATTATTAAACTATTGTCTATACTGATTTTGTCATAATTTAAATTAAATATAATTTCAATTAGTTGCCTGTTAGGTCCTTAAACAAAGTGTTAATACTTAAAAAACTGATAGGAAGATAGCTAACACCTTAGAAACTAATAGGTACATACTCGTTACCTTGTTCACGGATAATATATTAAAAATTGGCCGTGTATCATTTCATTTTCTAGTTTGTTAAACAATAAACAATAATTTTAGGTAGGTAGATATTTTGAGTGAGATATTTTGGAATGATTAAATATATTAGGAACCCTACTAAAAAGGAGTTTTTACCTTAAATGCTCAAAAATTGTATTTTGACTATAAGTTTCACTGAAATATATTCCATATATTATAATTTAATTATAATTGTGATAATAGTAAAACTCTTTACTCTTTTGAATACATAAGAATATTTGCTTAATGGTGTTTTCATCAGGATATATAATATAAAATGGATTTGAAAACAGTGTTAAACATGTAGAATCAGTAAATTATATAACTAAATAAACGAATAGAAGTCTTATATTTTACTGCTGGCTTTTTTTTTAAATGACTGCGTATGTATTTTAATTAAAATTTTTACACAAATGAACACTATAAAGTCTTTTTTAACTAGAACTAAAATATGTGATAATATGGAAAAAAGAAAATGGAAATTATGTGAATATATATCCCAACGTATTAGTGATTTAAATCAGCTAAACTTTAGTATAAATGCTGATTTAATCTAGATTTGCGGAGTGCGATTAAATTTGATCGTGTGAATATGATTTTACTTACAAAATATATAAAACTGACTGTTTTCGTTTTATCATAAAGTTTTTTTCAATTGTTTTCCGGAAAAAAGTGTTTACAAACAGTATATATATATAGCTGATTGTTTCAGTTTTTTCATACAGTTTTTCTTCCATTGCTTTCTGAAAGAGACTTTTCCAGAGTAATTAAGCTATTTATGTAAAAAAATGAAAAAATTAATTTAATAAATCTTTAGTTTCTGTTTATTATATGCACGTTTCAGATTAAATATAAACGTTTGACTTACGACATAAAAAATTATACATGTTTTAAAATAATATTATCAAATAATTTAATAATAATCTTTAAGATTTGACTATGTCTACTTGCATATGTATAATTGTAATGTATATAATAGTTGCTGTATATATATTATAAACACTAAGACGCGCATAAGTTGTTTATTCTAAGCAGTTAATATGGAGTGAAAATATAGAAGGGGATATTCTATTATATTTTGAAGTCTTCGTGTGAACAACTTCTTATTAAGTACTTTCATTAAAAGTGTCACTCATATAAAAATTGCTAAAGTTATGTACAAATACTCGGTGATATTTGTAACTTATGTAGTAATATTATTCAAATTTTTGCTGGACACGATTCCTTTCAAAACTCAATTTTTGTATATCGTAAATATAACTAGTAATATTGATGTATAAATAATTAGTATTATGTATAAGTAGAGTACGTACAATCAAATTTATTATATATACATTAAATAAAATAATTAATAACTTAAGTTTGCAAAAAATATATACATAAAATGATATCTGCTTAATTTATCACATTTAAAATTATTTAAAAATATATTATAATATACAATCAAAATAAACTTAAACTTAAAAACTAATGTGTGTGTGGTTTAAACGTAACTCTCTCATCTTGGACTATAATTTTGTTATTAATTTGATAGATCGCTGCGCACCGTAATGGTTGGAGAAATCGTTAATGCGGTTAAAATATTCTGTGTTGACAAGATGATTATCATCCTGGATCCAGTTTTTTTCTTGATTTAATTATAAAAAAGTACAAAATTCATATTTTAGAGTTGTTTTAGTTTAGGTTGGTTTTTTCTTTGTTTTTAGTTTAAGGAAAAGTTTGCAGTTTTAATATATTTCGTTGCAGCTTATTAAGTTTTATATCAAGCAGTCAATTAAAAAACTACAAAATCTTTTGTTTCTGAATACTTATCAATTTTGCATGGAAGACTTTTGAAGCCCATGTTAAAATAAAATCTTTTCCTATATCCGAGTACAATTAAGCGCTTAGCCTATATTTGGCATATTTATTGCCTCTTGCTCTTTTCCTTTCCTCTTCTCATTATTACCTGGCTCATATAATAGTACTTTGGTTTTAAACAGTCAGAGATACTGTATGTAACATTGCTGTTTTTAGATCAGCTGCTAAATGACTGATGTCCACTACAGAATCCACCATTTCTTGTACCGCCGTAACACTTGGAAAATGTGCAGCAGCTTTCTTCGATTTATTGACACAAATCTTCAGTGCATCGCATAGCGCATTTGTACAACGATGTATTTTATCACGTAACTCCACTTTAGAGACATTCCGCGTTACGATGTCACCAATGGTCACCAAGTTATGTGCACTAAAAACGACAAATTTTCCATAGGCTATAAAGAATTTTGGTGGTTGATTTTTTTCTACTGTTTCCAGAAATGAATCAATCGCTTGTCGTAAATTACCCATATGTGTGGAGATCTGCACGGCATAATAACGTACTAACATCTTATCTTTATCAGTTAGTTCGTCTTTTTTGCTATTTGGCAAAGAATTTGTTGCTGCCGCCATAGCATTTACTTCGGCTGCCTTAATAACTGTATCGAAATTTTTCTTTAAATTTGGTGCTATAACTTCACGTAGTTCTGAATTCTTTTTAGCCGCTGCATCCTTTGATTCAAAAGAGACATAATCATAATCTTCCAACCATTCCCCACTATTTGTCTTATTGGTATTTGTTGTGGGTGTGCAGCTACCATCAATGGTGTCGACAGCTTGAGGAATATTGCGTTTGAAAAGCAGTGAAGCGTTACCTTGTATGAAGGATGTGGTTTGGCGTACATCTTCAGTTAAAGTTTGTGCACATGCAATTAATTGATCGAGACTATCCGGTGGTCTAGAAATTGATTTCTCATCATTGCGTGCTAAGTTGTCAATTGTCCAACCACCTTGTGCAACGACAGCATCAGTCGATTCGTGTACTAATTTGTTTGCATCTCGTAGTGCTCTTACTAGTGGTCGCAGTTTTAGAGCTAAGTTACGATCCTCAGAACGAGTAGCATTACCCAGAGCACCTTCACCGAATTCAGTGAGATCATGTAAAGCCGTGCGTAGACGCACAGCTGCTAATTCGACCTCTATTATAACAGGTTCTAACTTCTCATGTAAGCGCCAACTTGGAGAGACAAACGATAATAATCTAAAAATATATATTTATGTGAGCATTATTAAATTAAATTTATTATATAGTCGATTTCATTTAGTTAGGTCACTGAACAACAACAAATTACGTACTCGAAAACCGGCTTAACAATGTATCTTGTTGTTGTGTCACTGTCCTTTCTTAATTTAATTCAGTATACTTTCATATTTACCTTGTTATTGCTCCTGTTGCTTCTGATTGAAATTTTGCTAACGTTTCCAGCGCTGATGACAATTCTAATGGAAGTTCTTTGGTAATAAAAGTTGTAGCTGCATTATTTACAGGTTTTTCCTGTACTGGTGTTAACTGCGTTGTTGGTAATGGAAAATCATAGGTCATACAATTTCCATTCAGATTTTGTTGTTGTTTTAGTTGTTGCTGCTGTTGTTGTTGTGCTAAAGTTAGCTGATGTACACCACGTACAGGCATTGGATTACGACGTGGTACATCATAATCTGGCATATTCGCTAAAGATGAGCGATTAGATGAAGAGAATGATAAACTTAATGAATCGCTAGTTAGAAGTGATGAATTGGAGCTGCTAGGTGTTAATGTGTTCTGATGTTGTAATATTGTATTTAATGGCCTTGGCACATCATATGACTCTTCTTGTATGGGTGTGGCACAACGTCCTTTAAGGCTTAAAGACATCAAATCATATCGTAAATGTGATAAGCCCGGCGCGCGGCCAACATTTCGTGGACAATCATAATTAACTGGTGTTGCTGGCTTTGGTATATCATAGGTTTCAAATTCATTGCTACCATTTGTTGCTGGAGAGGACATAATTAGATTTTGGTAAATATTTTGATTACTGTAAATTTGTTGCTGTTGTTGGTTTGTTTGTGGAGGTAGTGAATGATTTTGTTGCTGTTGTAGCGGATACGCTGCTGCTGAGAAATTATATATGTAAACATCACCGTGTCGCTGTGGGGTGATAACCTAAAATGGAAATAATGAAGGTAATTAATATATTTTTAAATGCTAATTTGTATTAATTTAATTATTTCGTTTTAAAAATTCTAGTTTATATTTTATCATCAATTCAGATATCTATAAAGGAAGACCTGAAGGCTCGTGAATATACGAATAAAT